TGGCCGGATTTCTACATACTTCACAGGGCAGCAATTAAGCATTTTACCTCTTTCAGTGACTGTTGTATCTTCAGACCAGAAACTGATTCAGAGACCATGGTTCCCAGAAACCCAATCAGAGTAACGTGTACATTAAGTAGACATGAGAATCTCCATTTTTTGCCTTCCTCTTCCTCCTTTCTTCTTTTTTTCTTTCTTTTCTTTTCTTTTTTGAGACGGAGTCTCACTCTGTCACTACCCAGGCTGGATTGCAGTAGCACAATCTTGACTGACTACAACCTCCGCCTTCCAGGTTCAAACGATTGTCCTGCCTCAGCCTCCTGAGAAGCTGGGATTACTGGTGCACACCATCACACTCAGCTAATTTTCGTATATTTAGTGGAGGCACGGGGTTTACTATGTTCGCCAGGCTGGTCTCAAACTCATGACCTCAGGTGATCACCTGCCTCGGCCTCCCAAAGTGCTTGGATTATAGGAGTGAGCCACCACACCCAACCCCTTCCTACCCTTCTTAAAATACTCACAAATGTGCATATGGCACCTATTGCCACTACATCTATCCAGGACCTAAATTTGCAGCTCCAATTTCTGAATCAGGGTCTTAAGATTTGGGAGAAAAGAAAACTTTTATCTGAGAAATACAGATTCTTTTAGTTATAAGGTTCAGAGACATTAAAATAATACCACAATTATGTATTTCTCTGTTCTTTCAGCTATGTATTTATCTCCCAAAGTGCTGGGTTTACAGATGTGAGCCACCATGCCAGCCCCTTTTTTGTTTATAAATTATCAGCTCTCAGGTATTCCTTATGCATTTTGTCTGTTCTTTGAGTGATTTATTTATCTCTTGAAAGTGCTTGCTATTGCCACAAGTAGCTATAAATTAATAATGACATGCTGGGCCTTGTAACGCACATCATATAGCTTAACAATGTATATCCAATCAGTAAACAATGGGTTTTTTTTTGTAAATAAATGAGAATTTCTGACAGACACTTTGTATCAGCCCACTCTCTGTCTCTTTTTGCTTTTACAAATCGTCTTGTAACTGCACTAATCAAAGTGTAGATTTCTGGCAACTTGAGTCTTTGATCCCAGGTTCCAATTCTCAGTCTTGGCCCAAATAAACTCTCTACTTATATTCATGTAGCTTCAGCTTTTTCCTTTTAAGTAGACATATTATTTGGAATGTGCTAGAGCAGCCTCTATGAGGAGATCTCTTCTTTGGTTGGACTCAACTTGCAGGAACACCCAAGAATGTAGAGCCAGGCTGATCCAACCTAGAATCTGCACATACAGCCTGGCCTTTACCTGGATTTACAAGACAGGGCCACACTCCGAATTGAGAATGTACAGAAAACCAACAGGAGGCATTTTCTGCATTGTGAGATGTCAACATAGACATCTTAAAGCTTCCCTTTGAGAGCGAGACTATGTGAGCTTTTCATATCTTGTTCAGTGACCTGCTATAGTTATGTGAGAAGATCCAGGTGTAAGTAGAATCTGATGACAGATTCTGTAAGTGTGAACAAGCATCTTAGGGGTGAGGGATGAAGGCCACAAAGTATCCAGAGTCATGATCACAACTACTTCCACCCATAAAATGTACTACTGGAGTAGAGTATTTTTGTCTTTCCTTTTGCCCAAGAGCTAGCCAATCAGGACCTGTAACCTGGAGCTACACCGAGGCAGTTCTATTTTCTATTTAGAATTGGCCTGAGTCTCTCCTGCCTGCCTTATCCTTGGGCCATCAGCCCAACTCACTGGGAACTCTCTCATAATCACCAAGGCATCTTTGAGACATTTGAGGATGTCCAGAGCAGAAATGCATCAGGTGGACAAGCGTGGTTAATGTTGCCTCTGTCTCAGTGTAAGAGAAAGGAGTTATCCTGTGTTTGTCCCTCCCCTCATTCAGGAGATGTCTTTAGTTGGTATCCATTTGAGACTTTCTCCAGTTTCCTAGTACTTGGTTGAAAAACAACTGGGAGGTCTGGAGACTCAAGCAGATAAACTAATTGCTAATTAATTCATATGGCCATTAGAAAAATAGATGAAGCAGTCATGGTCCCTACCATCAAGGAACTGTTAGTCTAAACTAGCAACTGTACACATGGTTGAATCAAGCATCATATGGTTGGCAAAATGAATAGATGTGTGAAAAAAAATGTGCTTTATTTGGGCCACTTTCTTTGGCGCAGTCTCGGCTTACTGCAGCCTCTGCCTCCTGGGTTCAGGCAATTCTCCTGCCTCAGCTTCCTGAGTAGCTGGGATTACAGGGGTGTGCTACCACTCCCAGCTGATTTTTGTATGATTAGTAAAGTCTGGGTTTCACCGTGTCAGGCAGGCTGGTCTTGAACTCTTGACCACAGGTGATCCACCCGCCTCGGCCTTCCAAAGTGCTGGGATTACGTGCCTGAGCCACTGCACCCAGCCACACTTTCTTTATATTATTGTGACTTCTAAGGTCATCATTTGAATCATTTGAATGAATGTTTATGGTCACAAGAGTTTTGTTTTTGGTTTGGGTTTTTTTTTTTTTTTTTTTTTTTTTTTTTTT